GCCACCGGAGCCAGGCAGGCAGAGCCACCGCCTGGGAACTGACCCATAAGGACCTGGGCAGGGAGGAGGCGCCGGTGTCCACCAATGCACCGGCCCTTATCTGTACAAACAGCGAGGAAAGGGTTGTTAACCTGGAGCGTGGGCGTGTCCGGGCAAGGCCCGCAACAGTGGCCTGAGTTTTAAGCTGTGATGACAGTGTCAGTGCCATGTTGCTTCAAAGACCCCGTGTTCACGTGTGCGGAGCCTTCTGCACATGCGCAATGTGATACCTGGGGTCTGCTTCCCGGTGACAGGGCAGGGGAGAGGCGGGCGGGGAGGACGGGCAGACGCGGCAGCTGCTGGTGCCGCGCACTGCACTGTGGCCTGCGGGGGGTCCCTGGCCATCCACGGTTCATTCCTCCCCATCGCGTGGCTTCCTCAACAGCCACATACTTCCTAACTCTCCCGCTGAGGGGCCTCGCAGCAGCAGCACCCCAGTAGCAACAGGTGCCGCGGTACCCACATCCTGGTCTCTAAAGACCCCCAGGCTTCTCGGGCAAGAGCCTCATCCAGGGCTGGAAAGATACTAACAGGAGATGGGCCTCCGGGAGCAAGGGGCGGGCGGCAGAGGGAACAGGGGCCCAAGTCTGCACCCGTGTCTGCGTCTCCCCGGCCTGGGGGGTGGGACTGACCCTGCACCCGTGTCTGTGTCTCTGGTCACTGAATCCACACAAACAAGGGCTGCTGTTTGAACACCAACAAAGCGTGGCTTCCTCATCTAAAATATCACTTTTAAAACATCAAAGCACTTACAAAAGAAACCGGCACTGGCTGCTCCTGCGGGGCTGGCCCCGGCACCTCTTCCTGTTGCTTGCGCTGGCCAAGGTCAGGCTGCCGACGCTGCGCTCTTCCCACATCCAACTATGGGGCATGGGGGCCAGGAAGCACCAGGGAGAGAAACCGGATTCTGAAGGTGCCAGGCCAGCTGGTGGCCACGACAGGGCCTGGTAACACCAAAAGCACTTCTGGCCTCTGCTGTGTGCACAACTCAGGACGCACAGGCCTTTGCCCGGCAGGGAAGCCGCATAGGCAGCGTGGGGATGACGACAGCTCACCCTGCCAGATAGTGACCGCCCCTGCCGGACAAGCAGAGAGGAAGACCCACCTCAACAGCTGCTCTTAGTGTCTCTCCGTCATTGTGATCAAGCAAAGGGCTTAAAGAGGGTCCCGGTGGTTTGTACCGACAGTCCCGGCTACTCGGGAGGCTGAGGTGGGAGGGTTGAGCCCAGTAGCTGAAGACTAGTGTCAGCAACATAGCAAGATCCCAACTCTAAAAAATTCTCCTTAAGATACTGCTTTAGAAGGAAGTGGAGGAGGGGCTGTGGACTCTGAGCCTCACCCTCAAGACAGTGAGGTCACCTGGGAACTATCTTAGGACCCCTGGGATGGGCAGAGGGACAAACTCCTCTGTGGCACCCCATCTGGCAGAGTTAACCTGCCCCACAATCTCCAAATCCAGAGGCCTACAAGGCATCTGCTCCAAGCAGTAACAATGAGGTCTTGAGCAGAAATCTTCTCAAAGGGGAGAGAAAAAACTGACGGATTGTCTAACGTGTTTGAGTCGGGAAAAAAAAGCAGTATTGGAAAGGGCTGACCAGTTGTGCTGGTCAGGTTGGAACAAATTGAGAGATGAAAAAAAGAAGGGGCAGCCGGGCGCGGTGGCTCACGCCTGCAATCCCAGCACTTTGGGAGGCTGAAGCGAGCGGATCACGAGGTCAGGAGTTTGAGACCATTCTGGCCAACATGGCGAAACCCTGTCTCTACTAAAAACACAAAATTAGCTGGGCATGGTGGCACATGCCTGTAATCCCAGATACTCGGGAGGCTGAGGCAGGAGAACCGCTTGAACCTGGGAGGCGGAGGTTGGTGAGCTGAGATCATGCCATTGTACTCCAGCCTGGGCAACAAGAG